CCCCCAAACATAATTTCGCAAAACTCACACATACTGAGAGTCATAGAGGCCATGTAAGTTATCGTAAAAATGTTCGACCACTCCCCTTATAGCCAACGGAGACATTCAGCAAATGACTGCCGCTAATCAGCCGCAGATTGTGTTGAGGGAGTTAAGGGGTTTGTTAACCTGTAATACTCGAGTTACCTGATGGTTTAGTCTCGTTTGTATTGAGGGCTTTGGAAGGCGGTTGGAGCTGTTCGTCTGAAAAGGTCATGGTAGACCAATCCATTACGACTATTACATGCACGGGGGTCTTGTATGTCCGATCACAGGGTTTCAACAGACAATATCAGAAATTAACTGTCAACAACGGAACGTATATTAAACCAAGGAATGGGAGCGGGATGAATCGCAGTTTGTGGGTCAAAGGGGTAAAGGGGAGCGACAATGGAGTAGGTAAATCAGAAGATATGCACGAGCCTTCCTCCGATTAATCCTTCTTCCTGTCCAGGTGTCGGTACGGGAGGTTCCACCTCCTGCGCGCCCGCTTGGTGCTCGGTAACCGTGGCTTCAAAAGAGGCGGAATGTCGCTCAGGGGAACGTTAACAAAGGAATTGAAACAAACCTAACTAAAAATATCTGTTCTTTATAAATTAACGCACTTGCGGATGAAATCTTAAAGGGCGCGCAGCCTAAAGTATCAAAACGTAAACGGACAAATAAGACGTTGATTAGTCAAAACAAACGAACGACATAGTGTAACATGCTAGGGATGCGGAGGAATATGGTAATTAGAGTGTTAATGCGATATAAAATTGCCTTTCAATAACGGAGTTTCGAATTATCGTAAATTCAGTATAATTCAGTATATATGGGAGATAGAGGCAGGGCCTCGGGAAACCCTATTTACAGATGGACCTATGAAAAAAATATGCAGATACTGACATAGCAGTTATGCCAGTCATTGATGTCATGCAAATTTTTGACCGTCAAGCATAAATTTATCTAGTCTCATTTTTAAATATCGACCGTTTGTCGTAAATTCATCAGTTATGAAGGATAAATGAGTGGTACATCCTCATGGGCATATCTAACCGGATGGCGTTTACAGACGGACCACTGGAAGCCAATACCTTGAAAAATCTAAAATTTGGGCAAACTGCCTGAAACTTTCCAAATAAGTGACTATATAATAACTGTACTTACAATACTAACTAGCTATGCTATCTATCTAAATAACCAACTTACTATAGTAACTAACCAAATAACTGACTAACTAACGGACTAACCAACCAACTAACTATGCAAACCCACTAGCTATTTATACTAACTAACTAATGAACTAACTAACCGACCAATTATACTAGCTGACCAACTAATTGACCAACCAGCCGACTAAATAGTTAACTAAATAACTAACTATGCTAATCCACTAAATAAAAATATTAACTAACCGACGTACTAACTAGCTAACTATAATAACTAACCGACTAGCTAGCTAACCATAGTAGATAACTAGCTAAATTTAGAGTGAGCTGCGGGAAACTTTCCAATTGAGCAACAATATAATAACTTCATATGTGACCAACCTTCTCAATCAACCAACTTTATTAACGACATCTTCCTGGTCTCCCAGTGATTAGAAGTATCACTCAAATATATTTTTACAAAATTTAAAATCAGGAACAATCCCAGTGTAGTAGACGGGCCACTCACTTGTCCTGCCTTCTTTACTGCAATGATCTTTGCGGCTGCTGCTCCTTCAAGGATTGGCTTGAGCTCAGTACCGTACGTCAACTCTGAATGGCATGGATCTTCAGCGTCACTCATTCTACAATCGGAAACTCAAGCTAGTGCGAAACTCAGTAAAAGGAGAACGATCTGTACACAAAAGATTTATATAGTGAAATAGGGTATAAAGGGACAGAACGCGTATAGTCTCAACGAAGATGGGGGATAACGGCGGTCAAAAGGAATCATTGAGCACTTCACTGCTGTGGTTCTTGGGTAGGTACTACATCCACTGGAGTCGCCTCCTCAACTCCGTTTCGACACTCCTTATTGTCTGTAAAGTGAAGAATAAAAAGGCTCGTCCGAAGCACAGCACCACAGATCGCCGTTTTTGTCTTCTTTTTTTGACTTCCCGCCAACTTCACCCCAGTCTGACATTACACCAGAAGCCGTCGCGGCTCGCATGAAAATGTTTGAACAATCACTATTCAGCACTCCGAAACCCGTCCGCATATCGCGGTTTTTTATTACACGCCCTGGGGTTCTGCTGGTTGTGCGATAATGTTCAAGGGGCTTGACGCTAAACCGTCGCTTATTGTTTTCGACCTTGGTAAGGTTTATTTTTTAGATTACGTTTTAGATGGTACGTTGTGGCCTTTCGACTGCGATACTTATGATGGAACAAAATTCCACTTAAAGTACATATGGTAGCTCCATGTATTTCTTTTTTCAGGAACGGTTTGGTTTATGACGAATCAAATACCACCATTGCTCCGTATTCCTCCTCAGAGAGCATCCTGAAACTTCTTAAGGCGGAGCCTGATATCAAGCTGGCTGTTGCTTCCAGGTCGTGTTATTTTCTCGGTTTTTTTCAGTAACAAAAAGTAGGTAACTGACTTCGGTTCCAGGTTGTACAAATCGGCTTTGAAAGTCTTAGAAGTCTTTTCCCGCCTCTGCAGTCCTTGTTATTACCAGTCGATTTCATTTATCACCATAACCTTTGCGTATTAGTTTCCATCTAAGTGAAGACTGCGATGGGAGAGTTAACATATGTTAGCTTTACGTATATACCTGAATATGACAAGGGATGTGGAATTGCTAGAGATTTCAACTAGCTACCCCCACTATCTGGGTTTCTGGCGATTGGCACTGATAATCATGGCTTTCTCCACCTGGCCTCCACAACCACTCTGTGGCATTTAGGGACAGGCGAATTTTATGCAACTTAACTATTATAATGATACTTGGGAGTCGTCTAAGAGCGCTTTTTATACCAAAATTTGCTTTTCCCTCTTTCTTCGAATATGACATTGTGAAGGCCCGCCGTCAGGACATTTGGCTAGTTTCCCTGCAAAAAACCTAAACTTTTAGCGCGTTGTCAATATCAGCACTTTCTCGTTGTTTGGCTTTTAGTTGTCTCTATGTAATTTTCCACCTCTCTTACATTCATGAGTCCTTTTGTTCCTTTGTAAAGTTCTATACGACCTATGTAGATGTGGACAAGTCAAATGTGTACGACTAGTTTGTACTTCGAAAACTCAGAAACAAGAGTAACTTTGGTAAAAGGTTGCCACCCACAGTTGAAAAATGTTCTTAGCTGCTAGTACAAAAACAACAGACCTCCTGAGGGTTTGTTATGCAGCCTGTCATTTCTTTGCCTTCCGATACTTGCATCTAACACGGTTGTCATTCCAGAAATAGGCAAAACCCGTTGGCAGTCTTTTATCTGTTCGTAAATAGTTCAGTAGAAAATGAAGTACGCCTTCAAACAGGACCCTGGTCTTCGGGAAGATCTCCCGCTGCGCAGTATCTGCTCTCAGGGAATAAATGAACCTTTTTGACCATCAAGCCTCGTAGAGCTATAAGGAGTATCTAACAGGAAACTCACTCATTGTTCTGCTATTTTTTATACCGGCCCCCATGAAAAGTAAATTGTATCTCATACACGTCTCGTTTTCTCCTCATTTATCGCATTCAAAGGAACCTGTGCCAAAATATTGTATCTTTGCATAGATAAACTACCCAAAGAAACTCACTCCATCCTACTTTTTGTTTAGTATTAAGGTCAGGTTGCTCTCAAATATAAGTACAAATGTAAAGCAGTGTTTTGCCGATTTAACGGCTGTACGCGCTTCCGTGGGCATTTTTAAAGTTGTGTCAAAATAGGTGTCCCTTGAGAGGCCTTGACTGAGCAACCTTCACGACCATCAGCCTGAAAATACAAGGAAATTTCTTATTTGGGACTTCTGCGATGTTCTCTGTCTCAGAACGCCCTATACCTNNNCTGGAGTCGTCTCGTCAACTCCGTTTCGACACTCCTTATTGTCTGTAAAGTGAAGAATAAAAAGGCTCGTCCGAAGCACAGCACCACAGATCGCCGTTTTTGTCTTCTTTTTTTGACTTCCCGTCAACTTCACCCCAGTCTGCCATTACACCAGAAGCCGTCGCGGCTCGCATGAAAATGTTTGAACAATCACTATTCAGCACTCCGAAACCCGTCCGCATATCGCGGTTTTTTATTACACGCCCTGGGGTTCTGCCGGTTGTGCGATAATGTTCAAGGGGCTTGACGCTAAACCGTCGCTTATTGTTTTCGACCTTGGTAAGGTTTATTTTTTTAGTTTACGTTTTAGATGGTACGTTGTGGCCTTTCGACTGCGATACTTATGATGGAACAAAATTCCACTTAAAGTACATATGGTAGCTCCATGTATTTCTATTTTCAGGAACGGCTTGGTTTATGACGAATCAAATACCACCATTGCTCCGTATTCCTCCTCAGAGAGCATCCTGAAACTTCTTAAGGCGGAGCCTGATATCAAGCTGGCTGTTGCTTCCAGGTCGTGTTATTTTCTCGGTTTTTTTCAGTAACAAAAAGTAGGTAACTGACGTCGGTTCCAGGTTGTACAAATCGGCTTTGAAAGTCTTAGAAGTCTTTTCCCGCCTCTGCAGTCCTTGTTATTACCAGTCGATTTCATTTATCACCATAACCTTTGCGTATTCGTTTCCATCTAAGTGAAGACTGCGATGGGAGAGTTAACAGATGTTAGCTTTACGCATATACCTGAATATGACAGGGGATGTGGAATTCCTAGAGATTTCAACTAGCTACCCCCACTATCTGGGTTTCTGGCGATTGGCACTGATAATCATGGCTTTCTCCACCTGGCCTCCACAGCCACTCTGTGGCATTTAGGGACAGGCGAATTTTATGCAACTTAACTATTATAATGATACTTGGGAGTCGTCTAAGAGCGCTTTTTATACCAAAATTTGCTTTTCCCTCTTTCTTCGAATATGGCATTGTGAAGGCCCGCCGTCAGGACATTTGGCTAGTTTCCCTGCAAAAAACCTAAACTTTTAGCACGTTTGTTACAACTCATTGTCAATATCAGCACTTTCTTGTTGTTTAGCTTTTAGTTGTCTCTATGTAATTTTCCACCTCTCTTACATTCATGAGTCCTTTTGTTCCTTTGTAAAGTTCTATACGACCTATGTAGATGTGGACAAGTCAAATGTGTACGACTAGTTTGTACTTCGAAAACTCGGAAACAAGAGTAACTTTGTTAAAAGGTTGCCACCCACAGTTGAAAAATGTTCTTAGCTGCTAGTACAAAAACAACAGACCTCCTGAGGGTTTGTTATGCAGCCTGTCATTTCTTTGCCTTCCGATACTTGCATCTAACACGGTTGTCATTCCAGAAATAGTCAAAACCCGTTGGCAGTCTTTTATCTGTTCGTAAATAGTTCAGTAGAAAATGAAGTACGCCTTCAAACAGGACCCTGGTCTTCGGGAAGATCTCCCGCTGCGCAGTATCTGCTCTCAGGGAATAAATGAACCTTTTTGACCATCAAGCCTCGTAGAGTTATAAGGAGTATCTGACAGGAAACTCACTCATTGTTCTGTTATTTTTTATACCGGCCCCATGAAAAGTAAATTGTATCTCATACACGTCTCGTTTTCTCCTCATTTATCGCATTCAAAGGAACCTGTGCCAAAATATTGTATCTTTGCATAGATAAACTACCAAAAGAAACTCATTCCATCCTACTTTTTGTTTAGTATTAAGGTCAGGTTGCTCTCAAATATAAGTACAAATGTAAAGCAGTGTTTTGCCGATTTAACGGCTGTACGCGCTTCCGTAGGCATTTTTAAAGTTGTGTCAAAATAGGTGTCCCTTGAGAGGCCTTGACTGAGCAACCTTCACGACCATCAGCCTGAAAATACAAGGAAATTTCTTATTTGGGACTTCTGCGATGTTCTCTGTCTCAGAACGCCCTATACCTTGTGCAAGCATTTTTGTCGGCGCCCAGTCGCGTAATAATTAGTTGACATCATGCCTGGCCCGTTATTTGTCGGTATTTGTAGTTCCTGAGGTTGCGGCCTTAGTACCGCTGCTGGGCGCTCGCATGAGTCATTACTCAAACGATCAGAAATCAGCACTAACTTAAAAGAGGCTTCTTCAGTTGCTCAAAGCAGTCTGTATCGCTATTTTCGCTACAACGTTTAATTCTTTCCATTGCGTGTCCCCAGGCCGCATACCTGCAAAAGTCACCGCCACGGTCAGGGCATACTAGTGCTTCACTACTACACAAGTTCTCGTCCATAACAATCTCTCCCAACCGTTCGGTATTCGGTCTGATGTTCTTGGAAGGGTCTTCACGGTTTTACCATCGTTGAATTTGCACCCGGGCGCCCACTGGCTGATTTCGACTACGGCTGCGACATCGCCCTGTTAGCCGCAAGCTTCCGTGACCTATAGTCTGCGGTGTCGCGGGTTAATAAAGTCGCTAAATCTATCAATCTATCCATTAACGCCGTTTTCGAGCTGCATTCATAACCAGAAGACACTCATCAAGATTACGTGGCTGCCAACTCGAAGGAGCAGGTACTTCCGACTATTTCAGGTTGAGGCTGCCTCCTAATAGACAAAATAAGGAAGTCATCATATTATAACTCGGTGCTTCTACAATCCATAGGAAGTGTCTGTGGACCCGACGCGGCATCCATCATAGCAAGATCTGTGTGCACCGGACATCCCTCCGGTCATTTCTATACCGCTGTGAATGCTGGGCTGTGCGATTGGAAGTTGGGTGAAACTGGTGTTTGGTCACTACTGCCTGCGGACGGGTAAGGTACGTCGACTTCGTCTTAACTGAGAACCAACACTCGCTGAGAAAACACGACGATGATATCTCAGGCCATTCAAAAATAACGACTGAGGTAGTTTGGACACGTTCTTCGTCCGCCGCATGAGCTCAGTGTCGTGGCCGTCAATCCGGCGCCGTCACCTACCTCAGAGAGCTGGAAAGGTTAGCTCAAAACTTTTTGACACGGTTTGCCATAACATGGAAGCGATTCTAGGACCTTTCGTTATCGGCCTCCTTCGCTGGAAGAAAGGATGGGTTGAGATCTTGAGATCGGCTGCCGCAGTTGCCGACGTCACCGATGCTGGCTAGACCACTCATGATCGCGGCTGTACCAGGTACAATTACAACGAAAACCTCGGTGATTGTTGTCTTCTATCCCCATTTTTAAGTTTTGTATCCGGAGAGCTGCCTTTGAGATAATTCTTGAATTTTAACACCTGCTTCCGCTTCAGGACGCCGACGAAATTGCCATCCACATCGAATTTAGCACTTCGGTCTGCGGTACTGAAACGCCAGCGACTAAGACCCTTTCGAGACCAACACGGTTGTCACTCCAGAAATCTGTTAAATCTGCTCGCACGCCTTTCATCTGTTAGTAAATAGTTTTGTAGAGAATGAAGTATGCCTTGAAACAGAAACCTTGTAACTGGTAAGCCTGTGCGCCTTCTAGAAGATCCCCGGCTGCGCAGTATCTTCTACCAAGTAGATGGATCTTTCTGGCCATCAGGCCTCTTGGAATAAGTGTGAGCAAGGACGCGAGACCCACCGGCACCACAGCCTTGTTAGGCAAAACAGCTACCCTCATTATTTTGACAAGCAGATCACAGTGTCTTAGTCGGCAACCCTCTGCGCCCGTTTTCCTTGCGTCACATCCCCTTAGATGATGAGTTTGACTGTGAACCCGAAAGGCCAGAATGAACTTCTTACTCCACTTAGCGCCGCTATTTCTATTAGAGTTACCTCTATCCTAGAATTCGGGAATCAAGTCTGTGTGCTTCTTGTTTTTTGTCCTTAGAACCACCAGTCCAAGCGTTGCTCGCCAACTTCTGCACATGTATTCCTGGTCCGGTCTGTTCGACTACATGGAGATCTATCCTACCTCCAAGATCCAACATTTCACGGCGTGCGTGTTTCATTTTCTCTCCCATATTTCTGGTACTCATTTCACAGAAATTTTCAAGAGCGAATTGATCATTGAGGACATAAGGGATATCCTCAGTTATATTCATGATTCTGACAAACTTAATTGCGTTCTTTCCGAAGCATGAAGCCGTTTCTGGTCAGCATATTTTAAGGGTAATAGGCAATGCCTTTGAAAACCCCTCGTGAGATCTAATTTATTCAAGCGATACCTTGCAGACAGCCCCAATAATTTTCAAATTTTAATGAAGGCGGCTGACAACGGGTATCGTTGCTCACAGCCGTCCTTTGGGATCCATCCTTTTCGTGTCTCGGCTTTTCGACCTGTGATTCGTAATGCTGCATTGCTACATCCATTGTGTTTTGAAAACCTGATGTGACAGAACCGAGACCAAGGTTCGCGTGCTCGGGAAGGGGCTTCCGTCGGGTTTCCATCGAAGTGCGTCAAATATGTAGTCTTTCGACGCTACTGTTGGACTACACGATTTACCGACACACGATTCCAACGTCATACTAAATCCTGTCCCATGTGCTGTGTAACCGACAATGGAGGCGTCGATACCACCGACTCTCTTCTCAGACTGGGGATAAGGACGACCAATACCTCTGAATGTTAACACCCCTGCTTCCGAGGTGGAAAATCTGTCCGGTCGTGGTAGGCGGTCGAGTCCCTGAGTCATTTAACAGCTTCTTTTGTCTTGGATTAAACGTCCCATAAAACAGGCTGAGTAAATGAAGTCAGACCATTGGAAAGCCAAGCAAATAATGTCTTGTGTGCCAAAATATTGTCAGCTCCGTAGCACTGTTCCGTAACTTGAACATTTTCAATCTCATAAAGTGGCTACCAAGTCGCATTTTGCCTCCGGCCGACAGCATTGTCAACGGGAGGTAAAGTCGACCACTGCGCTTCTGTTCAACGACTGATGGCACAGCTATGTTCTGCGTCGTCTTGGAAACGTGTCATCCTGCCCAAACGCGGCGACGGCATCAAGGTAACCAACTGAAGACATAGGTGGATGCGATGACAGCCGACAGCTGGCTCTGCGGAACTAGCACAAACTGGCTCGCCTTCACTCGGGAGTCTGCGGTGACTCCGTAGCGTGAGATCGCCTACCAATTATGTTGAACGTTCTGGAGCACGTATAGGAAATATCTCAGCTAACAAAATGAAGAGTATTCCTAAAACTGCATATGCCCGCGAATAAAAAAACGTAGTAGCGGAACTTCGCGCCGATCTATATATGCACAATAGTTTCCAGTCATTTTCGAGAGGGACGCAAAGTAAATCTCTAACTCGCAGTAACCAAACCCCTTCGCCTTAGATGTCATAGATTCCGCAGTTGTCAACCGCGTATCTGGGCCTCGCCGTCGGTCATGTTCACCCGTTCAGGGTGGTGGGCATCTGCTAGGCAAGCATGGTAACGACAAGACCGACCAGCGTTGTCAAAATAACTTTTCTACAGGGGTGTGAGGCATTATGAGTGGGCCCAGGAGACACCCCTCGTCCGAAGGCGTTAAATAAATGGCGCTTACACTTCACTCTGAATTCGTGTTCCCAATCACGACTAGATAGTTAGTCAGGAATCCAACCAGCCAATGGCGGAAGCCCTCCTGGTGTCGTCTCGTCCAGTCCCGATCCTGGCCGGCAACTAGGCGGTCGACTGATGGCGTGAATGGACATGGCGGAACCCGGCCTCGCGCACACTTTTTCGCTTAGAAGCCCGCCATTGCCCAGCTACAGCGGAAGGCAATCATTTTTATTGAGAGGGAGCCCGCCGAACTAATCATACGAAGTGCTGTCACAATCACAGGCACATGTTAGCTGCCAACCGATGTCACGTCGAAGCCAATGATCGAATGTCATGCGTAACTTACACTTACGCTGACCGTTTAGCTTACTGGAATTAACTCCCCGAGGATTTTCGCATGATTGCAAGACTGTTTTCTTTACGGTTTCGACGGCTTGCTTTCATGATAGAGTCAACGCCTGCTAGAGGTGCATTCCCAACTCCAGACTTTCCCGTGGACATCGACTATGACCAGCACGGAAAACACAAAATGAAATAATGATAGCCAACATTACCATCACCACCACAATGAGGAAGTGCGACTCGATCTGCCGATATCACGACTTACAAAAACTTCTCGGTATATTGTGAAAGTGAATACAGAAAATGAAGGACGGGCGACACAGGGGAAAAGTACTTGTACTTTATACGGCTGCGACCATGCCTGACCTAGCCGGCCTCGATGATGTCACGGACTGTACCTCTCCACGCGTGAAGATCCGCGGCAGCAAATCTGGACAGGTCAACCCATTCTCTTCGCCAACGACGGAGACCGAATACCGAAGGCCTAAGAACCACCTCCATGTCTTGACGAACTGTCGAGCCAGGTTCTGAGTTGACTCCCTCTTCGACGCCTCCAATAAGGAAACGGTGCTGGATCGAGGGCAGTAACACTGAGCTCCTGGATTGGACGACGAAGAACATGCCCAAACCACCACAGTCGTCTTTCTTGGATGGTCAAAGTTATCCTTGCGATGTTGTCACAGCGAGCACGGACTGTCTCATTTGAGACAAAGTCGGCGAACTTCAACCGAAGGACGCTCCTCAATGGTGATCAAATACCTCCAGTTTTCGCCCGTCCTTCACTTGCAAAGCCTAGCATTCGCAACCGCAGAGAAGGACAGACCGGATAGATGCACGGTACACGCGAATCTTAGTGGCGATGGAGGTCGCGTCGAAGGCTTGAAAAAACCCGGCGGGCAGCATCAATTCGGGAGACAATGTCGTCCTTACTCTGTCCATTAGACAGCAGCCTCGCCCCTAGGTATTTAAAACTGTCTACTTCTTAAAGTTGACAGCCATCAACCCCGAGAGGTGTCGCCTCCTGGTCAGGGATGCAGCTTGAAAACACTAGTCTTTCCAGCGTTTATGGACAAACTGACCGAGTTAGGAGAGAAGTAGTCAATAGAGAGCCTACCTGAAGGTGCTGTGGGAGCACTGTGGCACGGCAGCGCCTCGAACTGAAGTGTGTGGGGATGCCTATTCCGTCAGCGGGATCTAGTTTCTAGGGATAGGGTCTTCGCACAGCCACCAGACACCCGTAGAATGCCACCTAACCAACATAGATGGCGGTGCTTAACTGTTTAGTCGAAATAATGTGTATCAGCGCGTAACTTTGTTACTGTCAGCTTGTGTCTTCTGTATTCTTTTATGCATTCTCATTATTTGCGTGCATCAGCTTCAGTTATAGCTCTGTCCCCCCCCCCCCCCCCGCTAAAGACTCCCTAGGTTCTCCTTTTGCATCGTTTTAGATTGAGGAAGAAGTCTAATATACCCTTCAGCGAAATGCTGTTCTTTGATGATCTGTCTTGGAACATCAGCGAAGTCAGTCGCCTGGGTGTTCACGCTCACCTTGTGCACAACGGCGTTGACGCGCATGTCCTCCGGAATGCCCTCCTGGATTTTGCCAAGCACTCAACCGTAACAATACAAACTTAGACCGACATATCTTGCACCACTGTTCTGACTCCCGCCAGTGGCATCCGTTGACGGAAATGCGCCTCCACCTATGTAGTCTTTCACTACTGCAACGCGCCATCTTCTTTATTCAATTTCCCTCCAGCCATGCGGACCCTATCTTATCGTAAACACTTTATATTCCGTTGTCTCTAGATTCTGGGTACTTAAATGCAGCCTTTGGTCCTAACGCGATTGTTTGTTTTTCCCGAAGTATTGCGCAATCGATGGGGGGGGGGGGGTTGCTTTAGGTAAGTCGGTTCCTGTTGGTAAATACGCAAGTCCCTCATAAGCCTAGAAACGCAGGAAAAACAATTTGTACATAAGCGGCAACGACTTGGGTAGTATTCAGGACCAGATCCTGCAACCCATGGTCGTCCTTGGGAAACGTCGATTCTCGTCGCTGCTGTGTAAATTTACCGTCGGATGACTTACCCACACTATTGCGAACTAATGCGGTCCACACTGTGTCATCGCCAACCGTGCGCCTAGAGCGTCTACTTCTCCCGTACCATCTCTGCCAATCCTCAGTCGCCACGGCGGCGAGAACCGGGAGTATTGCGCTTTCAAGCCAGCGAAAGAGACCTCAGTGCGACATAGCGACCCTTCGTGGTGCCTGCTGCAGCTACCCGAACCAGCGTTGAGGCCTTACGTCCAACACACTAGATCGGCATGGGCAGCAAAGCCCGAAAAGTGCACTGACTCGAACTTAGGCGCGTCAGTAACTTGTCGAGTCCATGTTTCGCAGCTGTGGAGCAGAACCGTTTTAGTCTTCTGCGGCATATTTCCATTTGGCAAAGATCTGTTTGTCGCGTGGAGGGGACCGAGTAGACAGCAAATATCTCCGAACTTCCAATGGTAGACATCATTTGTTGAGTACCGTCGTACTTGAAGTGTCTAGGTTAGAGAACTGCGTGTTCAGGTGTAAGCTGCGTTACCTCGAGGCGCTAGTGTAAGGCAGTCGCCGAAGTTTCGAACATATGAGACGAGGCTTTGCTTTGCTACGTTAACTGTGGGGTCAAAGGCGCGTCTGCCATGTAGATAATCACTGGCGAGAGGACAACCTTGTCAGCAAGTTCTTGGCGGACTATATGCGTGAGTCAGCAGCGTGGCCTGGTCTGGCCCAGGAGTCTCGAAGGCATGCGATCAGTATCGAGAGCCTCTGAGGAGGCAAACGTTCGCCGTCTGTAGAAGATTCCGTCACCTTTGGATCAATCGTCCAACAGAACCCCCGCCAGGGCAAAACCCGCCTTTGCCGAAAGGGCCACTTGTGGTATGTGACTACAGGGCACGTCCCAATTAACATCGCTCGTGTTTAGAATTCTTGTGAAGCGACCACCGACTTCTATGGACTTCACGACCTGCACAGGAATGCAGCCGGGACCTACAATGCATATTAGGCGTCCGAACGTATGGGAGGCGTTCAACTCATTTTACAATCAGGTCGGGGTGACTACAGCCCTTGCATATCCCCACCCACCAGAACCGACTGGCACAGGAAAACGCGCGACATCTACATACTCCTCCTATAAATAAGGTGGTGACTAGTTACCTTAGACTGGAGGACCTGAGCGGCTATGTTCGATCCTTCCGATCATTTGCAAGTATGGCCGCGAACTCAGCCTAAGCAATTTTCGTAAAGCAACCAACTTCAGACACACACGCGCGAAATTGGTATCTGCTTATTTTTCCAGAACAAGTAAGACAACTCGAGCAAATGAAATGAATATTGACAACATAATTTTAAAAGAGGCTACAAACGCAGGATATGGCGAAGTATTGCACAACGAATAGTCGACAATTGCACAAGATAGGTTACCGTTAATTCTCGGAAACGCTATAGGATTAGGCGCACAGCGGACATCAACGTGGCCGGCAGACCTGACACGGGAATTATGCAACGGGCTAAACACTGGTGGTTAGGTTCACATTTAACCTACGGGCCACTCTTGGCTCACAATTCGGATAGTAGTGTTCCGCAACGCCGGTCCAAAGAGCGGGTTCTTTTGTGCCAAAAATGTCATAAGCCAACTACGGGTAATCGGGATTGAAAAATTGTTCCTTACAAGAGATAACAACAAACGGACGTCATTATAACCATCGTTTGTAACACACTGCGAAATGATAACGAAAGTGCGAGACGTACCTCCGGTGTTCACCTTTAGGTATTATAAGTGGTACGCCACAGCCAATTAATACCCAAACAATGGAAACAACCGTCAAAGGGACCTCGTACCCCATCCAACACTCGCGAAGACTAAATCGAAATATGGTTAGCCGATGTGAACTTAAACACAGCAAATTTCTGTTCAAAGTAACCAGATTACCGTAGACCACAACAGCCTCCTCACATGCATCAAGAAGGGAATATATTTGGAGAAACTACGAATTACCACCACATGAACGCGTAAAGCTGCGTCAAGGGCAGAGAAGTAATTGAAACTCGCTCAAGATTCCATGCCTTTTCTCCTCTAATCCAGCTGGGCTAAAATATATCGCTGAAAGCAGTCCCAATGAAGAGAACGGAGACTGGCGTGACCATTTACAATAAGAGTTAAAGTAACTCTGCATACAGCAAATATATCTGAACTCTGAATTCGGAAATGCGCATGATGTTGTTGGACAGGTCAGTACCCCTCGTCTTACGGGGAAAAAGTAAGCAGCAAGTCAAGTTGAAAAGACAATCCGATAGCCGTTCATTTCAGTTTATTGAGGAAAATAGGCGTAAGCCTTTGAGTAACGTATCAGAAACGTAAAACTGGGTGCGGTATACAGCGAAATCTGGGCTGAAATAATCCAAAGGGGACCATAATGGCGTGAAAAAGTGCGAGTGAGTTCCAGAGGATGAGCTTGATTTCTCATCGCTCCTGATCACTTCAGGACATGAATACATCAGGATTGTTTTTAAAGCTTTGTATTGACGGTGACTTCACAACATCTGCAGGAAGGGCAGTCCATGGTTGGGACTCCTGGAGAAAGAAATAGGACTTCCGAGCATCTAGCCGTGCCTGCTGAATGTGCAGTTTTAACGGGTGACCCCCGGAGGTTAGTCGTGGCTGCGAATTCAGAGAGCCCTCAAAAGCCAGCCTGCAGTTCAACCCCTTCACTATGTGGAATGCTTGCAAGAGACTCCCGCGTTTTGCCTATACCAGAAAGGCAGGAGGGTCAGATTTACTATGCGGGTTGTATGAGGGAAGGTGCTTTGACTCCTAACCATCTTCGAGGCTCTCCTCTGGATTCTTTCGAGGCAACTTTTTCAGTATTATTCAGTATACATTAGGGAGATAGGCAGAGCCTTTGAAAGCCATATTTACAGACAAAGACTTAAAAAAACTTGCACATGTGTACGGAGATATACGGACAATCTATCAGTTTTTATGAAGGGAATATATAGTCATCATAGAAAATGTTATTAAGTCCTTGTTTCAGTGTCTGGACTAAGGTAGTTTGTTCCAATCATCGACAGCTCGGTGAAAAAAGAAGTTGGCCCGTACTTCAAGCTTGGCGTACTTTGATTTCAATTGATATCGGTGGCCTCGGACATTTGTCGTTTTGTGCCATTGCAAAAATATCGGCCAATTTAAGCGCAAAGTCTACATTTCTGAGGAGTGTGAAGATCACGGACATGTCTCCTCTGTATTGTCTTTAAAAGAGAAAGAAAGTTTGAGTCTTTCTAGCCGTTCCTCATAAGGTAGGCTCTTCAGCCCACCGACTAGTTCTGTCGGTCTTCGTCGCACATTATCCAAGAGAGTGTAGTCTTTCTTCATCCAGGAACGCCAGGCCTGAATGCCATATTCTAGAATCGGCCGAATTAATATTCCAAACAGTCGACTGGAAAGCTCTTCGCCAAAGTTAACGAAGGATCTCTTGATCGCTCCCAGGATGCCCATAGCCTTTGTTATTTTAGCGAAGTGAGACAAGGATTTGCGAGTGAACGTCATGCACACACCTAGGTCCTTTGCCTCGTTCGCAAGATCGAGTTTGTGACCTCCGAGGGAATAATTATATTCACATCTCATATCCTTAGTCGGATGGAATGACATTTGTTAAAATTGAGGTTGAGAAGCCGTTCATCATTTCTCGTGACAGAGTAGTCTTTTCTCTAACGGGCTGAATGTGCCCTTTTATTCATTAACTGATAAATTTAATGTGGTTGCTCACGATATATCGGAAATTTTCCTCCAAAAGTTTAAATCAATCCTCTCTCCAGATGTTTGTATCACGTCATTTAGGTGATTTTGGGGTATTCAAATTGTATGCGATCACTAGGACTCATTGACTGTGATCTTGTAGGTACACCGCAGTCTCCTCTTGAGTAAACAGAAACTGAACCGTTTAAGTCTCCCCTTAGTATGCGTCGGAAGGCTACTTTTTGGCGGAATAGGCCTTCCGTTTCTATTTCAGTTCAGTTCAGTTCAGTTTATTGAGGGAAGTAGGCGTAAGTCTTTGAGTACCCTATTTGCAACGTAAAAAATGTGTGGTGTACAGATAGATGTTCTGGGCTGAAATAGTTCGAACACGCCCATAATGGTGGGACAAAATGAGAAGGAGTTACAGGGGGTGAGCTCGACTTCTCATCGCTCTTGGTCATTTCGGAACATAAATATGTCCAGATTCTTCTTAAAACTTTGTATAGATGGTGACATCACAACATCTGCGGGCAGCTCATTCCATGGTTTGACCACCCGAACCGAGAAGGAGAACTTCCGCACATCCAGCCGTGCCTGCTGAGTGCGCAGTTTTAACGGGTGACCTCGGAGGTTGGTCGTGGTAGCAAAGTCAAAAAAGTCCTCGAAGGCCAGACTGCAATCCAACCCCTTTACAATGCGGAAGGCTTGCAAGAGATCTCCGCGAAGTTGCCTGTAACTCAAAGGAAAGAGGTTCAGATTTCCTAGGCGGGTCGCATAAGGAAAGGAGCTTTGACCCCTGACCATCTTCGCGGCTCTCCTCTGGACTCTTTCGAGGCAGTTTTGATCCACAACACCCCACGGCCCCCAAGCTTGTATGTCGTACTCTAAATGCGGCCGGACGAATGTTCCG